GCCATTACTTTTTCCATTTTGGCTGCCAAATGACGACGCATATAGGTCACCGAATTATGAAATATTTTTGGTTATGGAACTATTAATTGCTTGTTTGTTAATTACAACGTTTTGCGGTATGACGAGTTGTCGACTTATCCAATAAAAATATTGCTGTTAATATAATACTACAATTAAGAAAGTTTTTCAGTTATGGTCTATATGATTTTTCACGTGTTGTTGCACTGCTTCTATATGCTGAGTGTTATTAACTTGGACTGTGAAGCTCTCTTTAAAGGTCTTGATGAAAGTGTTGTAAAACTGGATAGGTACAATGTTCACAGAATGGAAGTCCAACATATTCTTAATAAGAGAGTAAAAAGGATTGTCGATTGGCATGTTTTGATATTTCAGTGAGTTTTATAATAAAGCAAAGAAAATGACGATCACAGAACATGTGTTCAGGCGACATTTTTTTTCCTACAGATATATTCAATCAGTTTCATCAGTTTGTGGTCCAGTTCTGGTTTATCAAGTGTCTCTTAGTTCTATAGTTATCTGTCTAGCGGCGTATCAAGTAGCTCATGTAAGTACAAGTACAGTAGAAACTCGATTATCCGGCCCTCAGTTATACGGATTCGCTATTATCCGGGCTACGGACAAGTCTGGACAAGAAAGAATGTCAAAGCGTAATAGAGCGGTTTTGTTGAGAGTGGCGTACGTCAAATGACAATTACCAAATATTCTAAACCAAATTAAACGTATTATTTTATTTCATGATTAAAATCTGCAGTTTTAGTACATACATGTGTATGTACATGTACTTCTTCATACATTCGATTATCCGGATTTTCGATTATCCGAATGCCTATCGACAACAATTACTCCGGTTAATCGAGTTTCTACTGTACCTGCATAAGAGATGCTATCAATAGAAGTTTTGTCTTTGTATAAAAGTTTCGTTTCTCCCATACAAATTTTTTGGTTCAAATATATTTCCTAATAATGCTACTGAATTGTTCTTTCTCTTTCTAATACAAATATGAAACGGAGAAGGTTTAATATTTGTATGTTTAGGATTAAGGCTCTTATTTTATGAATTGTTTTTTACTTCAGACGCTGGACAAAGGTAACTTTAATATTATCTTCGTGACATTATTAACTGCAACCTGTCTGCAGCTATGGATACCGTGTTATCTTGGGACACTCATAAGAAATAAAGTACGACCATATGCTATTAATGGATATAGTAATTTTTTTGTATGACTAATTGGTTCTATAACTTAAGGCATTCACCGTCGCTGATGCAATTTGGGAGAGTGGTTGGAACGAAACTCCTCTTTCGCTGCTAATTCGAACAGATATGATGTTAATTATTTTAAGGAGTCAGATTCCTATAACTATAAAATTTACTGCATTACCTAATCTGGAACTAGAAACGTTTTCCTCTGTAAGTATATGTCTGGAAAATATGTAATATATATGTATATGTTTGTGTTGTTTATGTTTAAAGATATAAAATGTTTTAAAATGACGCTGGTCACGTTTTCATATCTTATCCAAAACAAAACATTTTAGCACGTGAACCCTTATCTATTCCCACAGCTCATTACAGTTTTGTAACATAGGTACAACCAAATTTTATTTACATGAACCTTGAAGGTTTAATTTAAACTATACGAAAGAACACATCAAATTTGCCCTTAATTTATGAACCCATAAAACTAGTCATATTTCTTAACATATTCAACATTTTAATAACATTCAAATAAAGTAAAGATTTCTTTGTCCTAAAACCCTATCAAGTTATTTAAATTCGTGGGCTTGGCCATATTATTATAGTGGAGGTTATTTGATAACATTTAACATATGATCTTATTTGTGAGCAACACATTTTACTAATGTAGACACATTATAACTGGCCACGATAATATTGTTGCCGATACAAAATTATATTGTAGCAAACATAGACATTAAATAAAATAGACTAAGTCGCAATTGCCATAATTATATTAGAATAATATAAATTTCATTTGGTTTGTTACAGATTATGGGTACTTCATACTCTTACTTCAATATTTTACGTCAGTATAAATAGTTTTGATGGACATCATTTAATATTTACTTGAACTGTATGATAAAATACATAAATAAACTTACGTTTTATTTCTCGAGCCTTAATAATAAACATCGTTTATCGGTTATTTACAAGGAAATGAACACATTCATCTACACAGGAATTTATGTGATAATGTCTCATTAAAGACAAAGTATTCTCCCTAGAATTTGCGTCTAAATTCTCGGGGAAGACCCAATTAGATTAAAATTATAGCTTTAGTGTTTTTTTGTGTTTCTCTTAAAGATTTGCTTCTTTGAGTGCATAAAGCCGTCTTAGTAAATTTTTGATGGACTTTGAGCCTGCAGTAAAGGACCGAATACACTTGAAGACTTTATAAATCGATGATTATTTCTAGAAAAATATTTTTGTGCTTTCTTTTCTTAAAAGACAATTTATTTCTATTTCATTTCGAAAAAACTCCATTATGCATTTTATCCCAACAACAAACTAAATTATGAGTAAAAATGTAAATTGGGGGTGAGATTTTGGAAAATCAAAAATTCGTGAGTACCTAGGAAGTCATAGAATTAATGATAAAAACATAGTTTTCAATGAGAGTGTTTTGGTTTTATAAACCCTGTGCTAGAGCGAAAACATTTAAAATGATACAAATAAAAAAATATTGAATGTATACCTATCATACTTCAGTATTTGCGAATTTAAATCGCGTTGAATTAATAGAGCTTATGATTCCGCGATCAAGGTACACGCTGTCTCTGAAAGTTGTTTAGTTTATTATATAAAATAGGCAACTTCTTGACTATAGGAATTGTTTTCCAAGATAGCAGAGTTGTTTGTTTAACTCCATTAAAGTTCAAGGGTAAGAAACAACCTCAAACCATATCAATTTACTGATCATCCATGAAGGATCGTCAATATTTTTGAACTGTACACGTGCACAGAAATAATGTCACTACCATACATACTAATAGATACAAAGAAGTTTATTTCATTATGATTTTATTTCAATTATGGGAGGGGAATAGATGTTTGCAATTTTTTTCAGAATGGTTGAGTGTTGACGATTTCAGCTTTGTATGACAAAGCACAGAGCGCTATTTTCATCGTCACGAGTTATGAATCGTTTTTTTTTATATATAAAAAGTAAACTATGTACCTACCTGTGTAATTGTGTAATTTAGGTACAAAACTAATCTACTTTTTTATGATTACAACTAAAACAATATTTTAATGTACTTTTACAATAATACTCTAGATATCCTAGAAAATAAAATACAATAAATATCATAAATAATAATTTAATTCTTCAAATGAATCCTTTGAATGCTTTCGTAAAAGCGTATTCATTTGACAAGAATTTAGTGACCAGTCTCCAGTGCGTATATTTAAGTTTAAATATTAGGTACAGATCGCTCATTTAATTTACTTTTTTATTGTGTTCACAAAGACAATTTTAGGAAATACTCCTATTAAATAAAATGTCATCATTTACTATATAATCAATTAAAAGTATTAAAACCATCACCTGCATTTATATAAATAATCAAAGTTATTTTTAGTTATTTTCAAAGACATCCAAAATTTATCTTATAGTAAATTTCGATAGGACTTGACATAAATAAAAGTAAATTTAAATCAAAAAATTTATACTAAGTAATTAACTGTAAAAAAAAGACTGCAATTAACTAATATTATGTTTTTAGAAGAGGCTTATTTTTTTGTATTTAGGTACTTCTTTCGTATCTTTTATAGTAGACCAGCAATAATCATCTATCCTGGCCTCGGCCTAATATCCTTGGTTTTGTTTTTAACATCAAATACTGATGAAAACGCTCTCCTCTATCATCGCTAACTTGTCCGAGATATTTAGGGAAGAAATTGATTTGCTATGCTTTGGATTTAGATAACTTTAAGTCTCTTACTTAATCATTTTACTCCTACTGAGGTATTATATCATGCGGTTCTTCATAAACATTATACACTACCAATTTCAAGTTATTTGGATTTCGTGATAGTCACCGGTTTTACTCAAATAGCCAAGAGGCTCTGAAACTTGTTGTTTGTTTGAGTTGTAGATAGACTTTGTAAGCGAAGGTTCATCTATATATATTACTTTTTCATTGTAGTTCTCATTGAAAACTACTGTTTTAGTGGGATAGAAGTAATAACTATATTTGTAGTTGAATGATTAACTCCGTATCAATGGCATATTGAAACTCAAAGATGTAATTTTACAAACATCCCTAAAGCTTAGCGCTTTTCTAAATCTTTCACAAACAAATTTTTTATTTTGGTCATCGATCGTAAATTTTAAATAATTAAAATATGCTCTTTTTAAGTACCTAATGCTAATATGAGAAATTCTTTCTTGGAAGTAGTAATTTTATCGTAACCAAAGAAAAAACAGAAATAAGTTTACACCATCTTCTTTAAAACATAAATTTATAAAGTTGAAAATTACAACGCATCAAAATCTTAAAATTAATTCATAATCAGCTTGTGTGTAGTCGAAAATAAAATGTAACGATAATTTGCAATGACTTTCTGTCGCGATTTAAACGAATATATTATGTTTGCATTTAATTATTATATTTATAAAACAATATGAAACTTATTGGAAGGATATAAACTTTTTTATTTTGTAAACTGTATTTTACCAACATCTGCAGTGGTTTTTAAATTTTGCTGGGTCAACAGGTGATGAAGAAAATCATTATTAATAGTTCGCGAGTTTTAAGAGTGTGATATTTGTTTTTTTTTTCAGATATTTGATTTAATGGGTACTTTTGTTTTTGTTTCACTCATTACTAAGATGGGTTTTGGGGGCTTGTCATCTAATGTACAGTTTAGCAGTAATATTTAATAATTATCATTTATGCTAAAAAAAAACTTCTTTATTATATATAGTTTAACTAACACATTTACAATATAAACATTACATTCAATGTAATGATCCTTTATGTTCTGGTAATAAAAAATAAATATTAACAGGTCCTTTTGATGTATAAACAACTTCTGTGTGCCGAATCAGCTGGGTTGCAGCAAGACCATACAGGAGACAAGGTATACCTGAATCAAAATAATAGCAAAATTAATTATACTAAAATTATTGTATAATGTTTAATAACCGACTTACCTAAGTTAACAATCTTGATTACTCTCATAAATCTATCTGACGTTACTAAGTCCTCCTCGGCTTTCCTTGAACAATGATATTTGATGTATGGAAAACAGCCCGTTCTCAAAATCTGGTAATTAGATTTGCCTACTTTCCAATTGAAGTTTGACATTCCAAACTGATCATCTTTTACACTGCTATACTAGAGAAAATTACATTGAATTAAAGATTGAATTATAATTTCTAGTTAAGATGTTATTGATACTGGTTGCATATTACCTTAACGAAATAAGACGTCCAAGGAGGTTCTTTACATTGAGCTAAGTAAGCTGTAAGGACTTCAGATGATGTAGGCTTTGATGAAAAATGCCTCATCCGAATTACGAAAAAGGATATTTTCATATTTACTCTTACACTTGTGAACATATTTACAACATATTACAGTCATATAAATATTCATGAGTCATCAAATTTTTGTGATACAAATATGTGAAGCGAAAAAATCATTTTCAAAGTAAACAAAAATTCATAAAAATATTATGTTAGGTAATTTTTTTATAAAGTCCGATTGGCAAAGCCGCAATAACAGCTGATCGCATGGCAGGTGACACCTGACAGTAGATAATTATTATACATATAAGAAAAGCGTTCCGATTTGCTCTTCTTGAATTACAATTGCAACTTTGATTATACTATTTCTATTACTCATTAAAATTATTATATAATTATTGTTTTTATTTTATTATATAACCAAAAGTTTACATAAATATGTACTGCATCTATATATTACATATTATTTATTGGTCACAGCCATAGGCCAAGAAACATAAAGAAAAATAATTGAACTTTTTTGAAGGTAATTGTTGTGTTAAAATGTAAAAAAATATTGAGAGTTTCATTTCACAAAAAGCTACAACAAACAATTAAAATAGCTAGAGATTTTAAATGAAGAACACATTTGGCAAAATTTACTGTATGCATTCAATTGCTGTTGTTCATTAAATTTTGTTGAGGGGTTTTTGCATGTTTTGATATTAAAATTTTTATAAATACATAAATAATTGATATTTCAAAAATTGTATTTATAACAAAATTTTATAAATTTCAATTAGTTTTTTAGTATTTTTAAAGCATTTTAATTTTACTGCCCTTATTTATGCACATATGATATAAAATATTTTTTATTATTTTTTATTAACTTTAATAATTGGTAATTATTTTAAAAAATTATATCCATAACTAAAGAAATCTTAAATATAAAAAAATATCATTGTGATTTGTGACAATGTAACTTGTCATTTGTCAAATTGTCAAAGTAAGTTTTATTGAAGCTAATACTTTAGTTACTTGTATTACTATTAAAATGCTAAAAAATATTTTATCATATTTAAGTTAATTTGTGACAAAATAACCATCTCTAATTCACTACTTGTAAATTTTGATTTACACAACAATATAGTAAGCCATGCAGTGGACTACAAAAACTTTTTTAACAAAAACAAAACGCGGCAATGTTTTGAAAGTAAGGTTATGTTTTGATTTTGATTTCAACAGAATTAAAAGTTTGAACATACTAAAATACTGTAATGTTTTCAGATTGTAAGGGAGCACTATTTACGTGATGATTTGCTATGTGGATCTGCTGTGTGTAACATTTGTCCTCATAAAGATGATGAGATTGTATTAGACAATAAACCAGAATCCATTTGCAAATTATTTGATTTTGAACATTACCTTGTTCTTGACACCAACGTAGTTCTTCATCAGATAGATGTTCTAGAAGAAAATGCTCTGAAAAACATTATAATATTACAAACAGTTCTAGAGGAAGTAAAGCATCAGAACACTGCTATCTTTCAAAGACTGTTGGAGATTGTGGGAAATAAAAATAGGAAGTTTTATTCCTTTGTCAATGAACATCATAAGTAAACTCTCTAAAATATACTTTATGCAATATTTTCTGTATGTGTACATAATAATAATTATTATATTTGTCTTCAGAGATACTTATGTAGAGAGAAATCCCCATGAAAAACAAAATGATCGTAATGATCGTGCAATCAGAAGAGCAGCATCCTGGTATGCATCTCACTTGCTGTTATCAAAGAGTGATTTTGATGGCAAAATACCTCAAATTATTTTACTCACTGACGATGAAAATAACAGAAAGATTGCTCAAAAAGAAGGAATTGTTTGTTGTACAGGTATAGCAAATGTTTTCAAACCTTTATATTTAAATAACCATTTTAATTTTTTAATATATCATTTATATAAGATAATGAATAATAGTCTCATTGATGTGGAAAGTTAAAGGAAGATTAGTAATTATGAAGTTTCCAGTCTTAATTAGAGGGATATTGAAATTTTTCCCCTGAACGTACATACTCTACCTCTGCTGGCATATATGAGATTCCATATTATACTTGTTGCTCAGCTGTTTTGCCATCGGAGAATAGTGCATTGATACATACTCATATTACACTTTATTGAATGATGTTGTAACCAGAGGTTTAGTCTCTTAGAAACATATTTAGGATGGCCATAATTTGGCTCTTTAGGCCCATATCTTAACATTATTTTAGGGTTAGGTTAAAAATACAACTAAGTAATCACCCCTAGTTATATTATAAGACCTATGGTGATATGAGATAAATACTTCTTTATGAGATTTTCTTGCACATACATAGGTATCTACCACAGTTTGATAGTCAAATTCTCTGTAAAAAATTATTATTTCAAATTATGTATGATAACTATTTTTTGTGCTATATGTATGTGGTTAAAACCTTCACATTATTTCTTTACAGTCAAAGAATATGTTGAAAACATCACTGGTTTTGCTGGTTTAGTTGATAAATTATCTAAGAATGTTATACCAGAAACCTGTTCTAAAGATGCACTATATCCTGCTCATTTAACACCAAGTCAGATCCATTCTGGTATAAGGGGCGGCAAGTTATATCAGGGAACATTTCATGCATCCAGGGATAATTTTCTAGAGGGTACAGCAGTTGTCAGTTCTTTTGACAAGCCTGTAAGTTGATATTTACATATTGATAATGAAGTATATCTAACAGGTTTCATGAAGTCAGTAGTGGCCTAGTGATTAAAAGGCCCGCCTCTCATGAGCGAGGGTGTGGGTTCAATACCAGTGTGATTTTTCCGAGTCATATGTACTTTCTGAGAGTATTTACACACCACTGATTTCCCAAAGATGGTTGATGTCAAGTATAGCTAATTATTTTAACTATTACTTTTTACATGCTTTCAACCTAACCAATGAATAAGATTAAGCATATTTCAATGACTGGTTTTACCATATAATTTCCCTTTCTTCATATATCAATATATTTATTGTTATCTGTAGATTCTACTACAAGGCCACAGTGGTATTAACAGAGCTATAGACGGCGATATTGTTGCTATTGAAATTTTACCCAAAGAAGAATGGAGAAAGCCAAGTGACATTGTACTGGAAGATAAAGCAGATGATCCGGGCGACACACTCGAAGAAGAAGCTCTTCTTAATACTAAGGTGGACAGCGAAGATGAAATAACACCAACCGGAAAAGTTGTTGGCATTATAAGAAGAAAATGGCGACAGTATTGTGGTATTCTTTTGCCAAGTAAATTTCCAGGTATGTATTAGACAAGAATTTTTGATTTTACATGAACAATATTAATGTTTGTTTAGTTTTGGCTATATAATGTCCATTTTTACAGGAGCTACAAGACATTTATTCACCCCAGCAGAAAAAAGAATTCCCAGAGTTAGAATAGAGACGCGTCAGAGTGATATACTCATTTCTCAAAGGATTCTTGTTGCATTGGATTCTTGGCCAAGGAACAGTAGATATCCATTAGGACATTTCGTAAGATCACTCGGTCCCATAGGTTTGTCAATTATTTGGCTTCTAATAACTTAATATACTATTTTAAGTGTTATTATATGAAGACATTGGTAAATATAAGAAAAAAATATGTTTTAAATACCCACTGTTGTTTTGCATCAATAAATATTTTTCATTACCACAAATAACATTTACCTGTAATTAGAATGTAGGCAAAGTCTCTAGAATAGAATTTGGTTAGTTAGTTAAACTCTAGAATTTAATTCATTTCTGTATTAAAAATATTGAAGTTCATATATTGTTTCTTAAATAGATTTTTAAAACATTGTTCACTATATTTGCATTCAGGTGACAAAGATGCTGAGAACGAAGTAATTTTACTGGAACATGATGTACCACATGCAAGATTTAGTGAGGCAGTACTGGCTTGTCTGCCTCCAGATGATTTTAAAATACCTGAAGAGGTTTGATTATAAAACATAAACATAGGATTTGATTAACTTATTGCTCTTGTTGCTCAAAATTAGGAGTATAAAACAATTTATTCCATTCTTATTTTGTTTTCAGATACTTTCTAGATCTTTATCAATTCACAATTAAGACATTTCACATAACAACTCAGTAATCGATTTCCATACTCTAGCCATTATAGTTCAAATGAAATTGCTTTAAATAAATTCTATTTGAAATGTTTCAGGAGATAAAGAAACGCGTGGATTTGCGTTCAATATGTATATGTTCAGTGGATCCTCCCGGCTGTACCGATATCGATGATGCTCTGCACGCGCGGCCGCTACCAGGATTGTCTCCGGACGGCCTCAAGACTTATGAAGTTGGAGTTCATATAGCAGATGTAACTTACTTTGTGAGACCAAACACTGCTTTAGATAAAGAGGCAGCGGCAAGGTCTACTACAGTTTATTTAGTAGATCGGAGAATTGATATGGTCCCAGGTAATTAGTAAGGATTTTCCTGTATATAATACAATGAAATTGTATTTGGTAATTTATATGATTGAATTATTAAGGTTATTAATGTGGGGGTAGTGAGGTTGGAGATAGATGTCACTGAAATAAATAAGTTTAAAACAGTCATAATTAATCATATCAGGAAGATTTAAATAAATTTCTGTTGTCGAATACATAGTTAACTGTCTAGATATATGAATAAAATTGCAGTGTATTTTTGTAATAGGCGAATAATAGTTTTGTACTACAAGCGTATGAATATACAGTACATAGATAAATTAATTTGTCTGTTTTTTCAGGTCTTTTGAGTTCAAACTTATGTTCTCTGCGCGGTGGTGAAGAGAGGTTGGCTTTTTCGTGTGTGTGGGTTGTCGATGAGAACGCTAATGTTTTATCAACCAAATTCCATAAAAGCGTTATAAAGGTAAGTGTTTATTTACTATGGAAGTCTTTGTCTGTGTGTATTTATTTGTTTTATAAAGAGCTTTACGCCCGCAGCTTCGCCCGCGTGGAGTTCGGTTATATCGCGTTTCCAAGAGAATCTTTCGAAAGTCTGGGATAATAACTATCCTATGTTCTTTCTCAAGGTCAACTCCATCTCTGTACGAAATTTCATTAAAAAAAGTTCAGTGGTTGACGCGTGAAAGAGTAACAGCCAGACAGAGTTACTTTCGCATTTATAATATTAATAGGGATAAAAAAATAATGCTATATTTATATTCGATAATTTTAGTCTTCATCGGCTATGACGTATGAGGAAGCGCAGATAGCAATCGATGACTCGACCAGAAATGATGAGATCGCTTCGTCTCTACGGACATTGAACTCTTTGGCTAAAAAGTTAAAGCAAAAGAGATTGGACAATGGCGCCCTCTTGCTGGCGTCGCCAGAAATACGGTTTCAGGTAAAATATTCAGTTAATTAGAACCTAATGGTTGAGTTAAAGATTAAGTATATGGTATGGAAATAAATATAGATAAAAAATTTACTGTCGGGATTTTAACTACATAGTTATAACTGGGTCAAAGTTATTGTTACTTTTTTAAATGAGCTGTTGCATCATTAAATCTTTAGATAAAAATTTTCTTCCTATATTGTTTATGGATTTTTTTGTTCCCTTCCTAAATATTTTTCATGATTTTCATTCCTTCTCTTTTTAGCGGCTATTTTATATTTGTGCAAGTAAGTTTCAATTCTATTTTGTACCCATATATGTATGATCCATATCAAATGATAAAATGATAATTTTATATCCATTAAGATATTACAATGACATTTCAGCTTGTATTTCAACATATAACAGAACATGAATTTTCTAAAATGACGTAATTAAACCTTTTTCAGGTGGATTCCGAGACTCACGATCCCATAGAAGTTCAGGCAAAGAAGATAATGGACACAAACTCTATGGTTGAGGAGTTCATGTTGTTGGCGAACGTGAGTGTGGCTGAACGTGTGGCGACCGACTACCCGCGGTGTGCGCTACTCAGGAGACATCCCTCGCCACAACCACACAGCTTCGACACGTTCCTCAAGGCTGCCAGGCAACAGGTCAGTATATAATGGACAATGTTCGGACTTATAATATACTAGAAGACCCGGCGAACTTCGTATCGCTTTATAATCAAGAAATATCTGTTACGCTTTTATTTATATTTTTGGAGTTTACCTATTAAAGCCATAAATCTCCGTGTTTTGAAGTGCGACAGAATGATTGACATATTAGTTAGTTGTCAAATCTAATGTAAAAAAACGTGTGTATCAACAACTACTAATAAATTAAAAATTAATTAAAAAAACATTGTCCAATTGACAAAATTGTGAATCTAAACCATTCCCAGATCCCCTTGAACACACACAAAAAATTTCATCAAAATCGGTCAAGTCGTTTGAGAGAAATTCAGTGACATACACACTCACAGAAGAATTATATATATAAAGATATATGACAGACATTATTATATAACACAATACATGGTTTGTATTGTAGGGAAACTGGTTGATTTATTTAATGATTACGATATATTTTCAAGTTTCGTATCTGACATAGTATTTGTGAGTACACACACTAAATTTATTCCACCTTTTTATAATTGGTTTGTATAATATGTTCAATTTATATTTTCTATATATTATTCACCTTAAAGCTAGCAAAGAAGTCATTTTAGGATTATTACGTGATTAAATAATGGAATTCAATTTCAATGGAGTTGAAGTGGAATTTAGGCGTTTTATAGGCACAATGGAATTTTAGGCATAGTACACACGAATAAAACAATCTCAATGTTTAAAGTTTCTTAAAAATATTTTCCAGGGCTTCGAGTTGGATGTATCAACTAACAAGTCGTTCTCAAAGTCTCTCAACGAAGCCGTAATACCAGATCGTCCGTTCTTCAACACTCTCCTCCGTATAATGGCGACTCGTTGTATGCAGCAGGCAGTTTACTTCCCAAGCGGATCCCGAACTCAAGAAGAATTCTACCACTACGGACTGGCTTGTCCTATTTACACACATTTCACATCGCCCATACGCAGGTATTAAAATTTATTCATTACTAGCTGCGTCCCGCGGTGTTACTCGTGGATTTCCGGGATGTTAAGTAGCCTATGTGTCATTCCTGGACGTCAGCTTCCTGTATACAAAAATTTATTAAAATCGGTTCAGCCGTTTGAGCGTGACGAAGTAACAAACATACATACTGACAAACTTTCGCAATTATAATATTAGTAGGATAGTAATGTGATAGAAATTATTTCTCCTAATTTTTTGTTTATTATGGACCTTTTGTGATTATCAAAATATTATATTATTACTTGTTAATTGTTATAATAATCATATTCTTACATTTATTTGCACTCAGATATGCAGATGTCATAGTACATCGTCTGTTAGCGGCCAGTATAGGCGCGGACGTGAGTCACGCGTCGCTCCTCGACACTAAGGCTGCGGACGCACTGTGCGACAACCTCAACTACAGACACAGACAGGCGCAGTACGCGGGTCGCGCGTCTGTGGCGCTCAACACGCATGTCTGTACTACACTTAGTATTTTTCTTCTTCTACCTGGCAATTTCTCAGCTTTAACCAGGGTCTGCCTTAAATGTTGATTAATTTATTTTACGACCGGCCACCTGCCTGACATCAACCCTCTTTTGGGAATGCATTAATCAGTGATGTCTAAATACTTTTAGAAAGTACATATGATTCGGAAAAATCACATTGGTACTTGCCAGGATCGAATCCGCGTCCTCGTGCATGAGAGGCGGGCCTTTTAACTACTAGGCCACCACTGACTGTACTATACTTAGTATATACATTTGTATATAAATATATGACAAAAAGATTGGATATCTTCAATAAAATTTATTAACACAGAATTAATTTTAAAGGAAAACCTCATATAAATACTATGTATAAGGCACAATAAATAATATCTATTCCAAAAATATTGTTTATTTATATGTCATATTGTTCTTATATTTATATGTTAACTTAGTTAACTAACTTTAACCAAAGTTCTAAGGATTAATGACATAAGATGTTCGATGAGGATATTTACTTACTAAATAGGTATTAATAGATAGTTTTATTTTCAGATATTGTTCAAAAATCGTGAAGAAATAGAATCGGCGGTGGTGCTCGCTGTAAAACGGAACGCGCTACAAGTCCTTATACCTAAATACGGACTTGAAGGACCTATATACTTACCGTCTGATAAGTTCAGATACAATGAAGAGGTTGGTTATGATTTATTTCTCTCATTAAATAGTTATATTGATACTCTTCTACCTGGCAATTTCCCAGCTTTAGCCAGGGTCTGCCTTACATGTTGTAAATAGTTTTGGCTTATTGTTTTACGACCGGCCGCCTGCGTGACATCAACCCTCTTTTGGGAATAAATAGTTATATTGATACATTTAAATCAAACTTATATTTTTTGGATTATACTATGTGACTTTTGATAAAAACTACATACTCACGACGTTTCGGCTACTTTTCAGTAACCGTGATCAGGGAAAACAAGCGGAAACCTTAGATCTCATTATAAATATTTGACAGCGACTTATTGATTTGTTAATATTCAACAGACGATCCTACACTATTTGTAAACCAAATAATTCTTAAAATTATAAAAAAAAAAACAAATAAAATCAAATACAAATAATGTTAATCTACCAACTATTCATTTAAGTAATAAAATATATTTTAGCCTAATATAATATTATTTTGTATATACATATACGGATTTGTTAATAAATGTTTAATTTCCAGGAACACGTCCAAATCTGTGGTGACGTCATCTTGCGTACGTTCGACGAACTAACTGTCCGTTTGACGTTAGACAGCAGTAACTTACAACATAGGAAATTAGTTTTCCAACTGGTAAAACCTAGTATACCGGGAGTAAGTTACATTGCTGATGAGCAAGTGGAAAAGATGGAAATAGAGGAAATAGACAAAAAGGAAAACGAAAAGAAAAGAAAGGAAAGTACAGGCGGCAAAAATAAGAAAAAGAAATCGAAGAAATGAAAAGATCATTTTTGTATAGCTATTATTAAAAAAACATTAACATTTAATTTGTTGTTTCTTTTCAATATGATTTAATTAAAAGCCGTGAATCAATAAAATGTTATATATTTATAATTTTCATCTACATAAATATTTGAGAGGATACAATTTGGTGCAGTTGCCATATTAAAAAAAAAATTTTTGATATTTTAAAAGGTTAAAATATTGAATATTTTAATCAGTCGATATTTCTAAAACTATAAATAACAATAATTGAGTATAATTTAAAATTAAATTCCCATAAAAGAGAACAATTTTAGGTCTTTTATTATTAAATCTTCACTTACTTGTTTGTATGAAATTCATAAAAAAAACCCTAAAAGTAAAGACTTTTAAGTCGACGATTTGAACTAGTAACTAAAGACAGGTTCCAAAATGTTCTACTTAAGTAATTCTTTCATTTGTAATGCATATTTGAGTATCTTTCATAAAAATTTCATTAACAATATATTTATAGCACGGAAACCTCAATTACATAATTATACATATATAAATCTATATTTAGAAATATAAGTACGTGTATGACTTGTTTTTAACTCTTTACATAGATTTTTTATAACACCTAAATAATTAGAATTGAATGAACTTGTAACAAACAATAAAATTAAAGCATTCTTCGGTTCAGACTAGCTGTGGTTTTCTGTTAATTATTAATAGAAGACCATCAGCACTATTTAATACATTAGAACTAATTCTTAAGGCTTAAGGTTCATTTTTATATAACACGTTTTCGGATAGGCGGCGGGCTGACAGCCACAGGATTTGGTGGTCTAAGACCTTGACTTGTACCTGCTTTTCCTCGATCTTCCGAAATTAATTCCTCCTGAGAATCTTCCGGTACAATGATTGTTGGTACGTTATCCAAGGACTGTTGTAATTGGCCGGTTATTCTACAAATCTCTTGGTCTATTTTATCTATAAGCTTCTCTACTACCACAGACCAACGGGTCGCGGGTACAATGTGGTGAGGTGTTAATCGAGCATCAGCCATAACAGCTAATTGCACGCTGTTAGCGTATTGAATTATTGTTAAAGACATACCTGAAAAAAAATATGATTCTGTTAACATCCGCCAGTATTATTATAAAAGTATTGAATAGTTAAATTGATTATAATATTCCTTACTGATATTTGCTTGAGGCGGTCTCCAATATATGACATTGTCTACAGTTTGTCCCCACATTGTGTTTCTTGGTCTACTGTCCATTGGGGAATTGATTTCTGCGTAAGAGACTGCATATCTTCTAGATAAAACGTTTAAGGTTAGTCGCGCTAGAGGCGAGGGTACAGATCTAGTTAGGGCTCCGCATCGAGCTTGGGCAGCCCACGCTGCTGCCAACACACGTTGCTGTTTGCAAGCATCTTCTATAGATGCCGCTATGCGCCGCGGACTTGCTCCAATCGGCAGCGAAAGACATACCATACCTAAAAATATTTCAAACAATATATTTTAATACAGCGATTTATGAAAAGGTCATAATATCTGATCAATATACCTCCAGTTTGAGATTTTTTGAAATTCTTGCCGTTGCCTTCTGCGAAAGTATAAAGGAAATCCTCACAAGCAGCTCTGGCTGTGATCAAAACGCTATCTGGAGTCTCGTTCTGTGTGTTTTCGAAGAAAGCGCGTAAAGCTTCTGTTGTAGCGAATAGAGCTATATCTGTTGTTGACACACCCAACGCTTTTGCAGCTCTCTCCATACCCACACGAGACACTGGGCGAGACCATGAAGTAACCTTTAATTTAAAACGATTTCAATACACATTAAATTTATCCGAAGAAAAACTGCATATTAAAAGCTAGTGTAGTTGAAAAAATTAGCCCTATTACAAAGAAAATAAACAAATACGATATATAGAAAGAAGTAATTATTATCTACTCAATTCGTGTTAGATGTTCGCAAAAATATTATATACGTAAAGTAAGTTGGGGAAACTTACTTTTCTTCCACATAACGATGATGTCTGTAATATATTTCTTTTACCATCATCAGCTCCAATGGTATTGGTCCAGAAGTTAGCTGGAGCTCGGTACATCTGCATGGCTCCTTTCAAAGCTTCTATCGTAGCCTTAACCCATAATTGACCTAAATCTCCATACTTCCAGGTTAAGGTGTTTACATGTCTCACATGGCCAGTTGTTCGGAGATCATTTAGTGCAACAACTTCACCCCATATCGTAGATGGCAATTTGAAAATCATTCGCGTAGCTGAGTAGGACGCCTGGAGGCATTTTCCTGGCCACTTTCTAGGATCAAAAGTCACAGCAGGTGATACGAGAATCTGAAAAGGTTAGATTACAGATTTATTTTTATCTCGTCAACATTCATACAATTTAGTGTAATGAATCCACTCAGTATTCCTACCTACCTTTGGAACTGTTAAATTTCTCTTATTACATTCCTTCTGAAGTGCATTTATGAATGCCGTAACTGTTCTCACCGGATGAGGATCTTCACTGAATGACCTCTTTTTTGTTATTTCTCTGAAAGCGTTTGTCGCAGAAATGACTATCATACCCGCTACATGAAATATTCCCGGCAAACTTTTTCCACATTGAGTGCTCTCGGTGGGATCGTATTCAGATATAAATTCATTCCAAACGTTTGACAATGTTTCATTAATTTTCTCCCATAGTTCTGGTATAGCAGATGATCCAGGAAATAATTTTGTCAAGGGACTATGCTCTTGGTTATTTGCTTCAACTAAACGAGATTCTGGCAGCTGTTCTAGTAACAGTAAATCACCTATATTCAGCGATTTCTTACCAGTCAGAAGCAAATGATGGACCCTAACTAATATATAATACTTTGGTTCTATAGAGACGCATGGAATTAATATAAACTGCCATGGTGGTTGGTCACTTGGGAAATACTTTGATATAATATCGCTGGCGTAGCCCTAAAAAGATTTAACAATACAGAATTAATAATAATTGAATAGAGACCAATCACTGTTGAGGATATTCTTACTTGAATATTGTTTTCATTGACTGGCCGACCGCGATGAATACCGCCGGCTACAACGAAATGATTGTCAAGCCTGAACGGTACGTTAACATCCCAAGCGTAGTTTCCCCAACACGATACCAAGAGATGGCGTAATCTTGGAAACATTAGACTTCCTGTATCATCACGCCGATCGACAACATGGTTTACAAGACTCTCATGAATTTCTTCCACATTCATTGCACCTTTATAAAAAAATTAAATTTTAAATATGATATAACTTTTCACAATATACATAGGTAACCCACGAAAAAACTAATGAAGTAATTTGTATAAAATTTAAACTTTAAAAGTGTCGCTTACTTGCCAGAAAAAGACATTAGCTAGAGGTGTAAGTTATATTACCTAATCAACAACATGATAACTGCATTGCTAAATAAAGGGATTCTCAGGGTTCCACATTCATAGATATTTTTATTTTACTTCTGATTGGTTATTATTATAAACTATAGACTGAGACATGTACATACAAGTATATACACTTATTGCTATATAGCATTAAACTAAAATATTATATACTTCTGATTGGTTAATATTATAAACTATAGACTGAGACATGTACATACAAGTATATACACTTATTGCTATATAGCATTAAACTAAAATATTACATAGGTATGTATATAACTACAATTAGTTTTATTTACCTTTTATAGACAATAACACGTTAATGATACCCTGATTTCTGTGAGTGTCTAGAAGTGATCGCACAGTATCCGTTCTGATGAACTCCAATGTGGGATATCGGCTTGACAAAAGTTTCAGCCATAATTGCTTGCTTAAACGGACCACTAAATGAAAGAGAAGATATTGTTAATGATAATTCAGTTGACAACAGAAAAAAATTAGAAATTACTATAAACTAAATTATTCGTAGAAATCAAATACAACACCTGGTCAGAAAAATACGGATTTTGTATATTTTTTAAGTTGTCAGTTAAAAAATGTATAAAAAACTTATTCTCGACAAATATACCTACATTAATGATTCTTGTAAGAGAATCTTCTAGGAAAGGCGTATACTTAACTTGGATTAATAGAATTACATAAGACAATTATTGATTTAAAATATAATGTACTTACATAATACGAGTATTATAAAAAAATATTATTATGTAGGAGAATATAGATATACATATTATAAATTTTCTTAGAAACAATATAATTTTTTCTGATAAAATTGCTGTAAAATGTTCTTGCATTCTATTGTTATGCAAATACGAAATAATATGATACAATAGGGTTAAGAAATCGGACATACCAACGTATGAAAATGCTAAAGCTGGTAGCGCAGACACTGCTATGCAAAATGCGCAATAAGTGTAAAATTCGTGTCGAAGTCGCTTACGAAGCCCAATTTGTGTTTCAGCCATAATGACTTTTTCCTTTATTTTATTCCGTGATTATTCTTGAATTCAATGTATCTGCGAACCAAAGAGAATTATATTTTTCATATTTCTTATTGTTAAACGTATCATATACATAGATATTTCAATACAATAAACGTATCATGTCTTTAATGGTACTAATTTTGTCACATTTTTTTATTTAAAATATAAAAAATACTAGAGAGAAACTACTTTCACTCTTTCTATTCTGAGCTCGACCTAGCTAATAAGATGCTTTCACTATCACGGACCTTGTATTGGATGTTTATAAGTTAAAAATTGGTTTATACATTACATATAAACATAACACTGTGAGACCGGCAGACCTTGGCTAAAGCTGGGAAAATGCCAGGAAGAAATATAACATTGTGAGAGATTTGACATTTATCCTTTGAATAAAACTACATTTACAATTCTATATTTGTGTAACACGTACCTACACGTTATATTAAAAGAGTACGCACGGCAACATTGGAGTAATTAATTTAAATTATCGGGCAAAAAATAAGATTATCTTATAGAAAGTTTATTAACCTGAACGTAATCGTAATGATATTTTTTTATACTATTTACTATTTTTATTTTGTGTATCTTTATTTAGGCTCACGAAAAATAATTGTAATATTTTATTATTGCTATGGTTTAATATTTGATTGTTTAGTTTTGTTTAAATGTTATATGCAAGTAGGTAAAGTTCCGAAAAATAGGTTTGTCTTTTAGTGAAAGTAAAAAATATTTGTCCAATCTTGTCCATAATTTCACATAAATTATAATATTAATAGGAAGTAAGCTTGTTTTTTTACATAAGTTTCAATTTGTTTTATGCAAATATAAAAATATTGACATAATTTACCGACTCGTTATTGATTTTAGTGAAATATTGAAAGCGAAATTTATTGCTTGTATAAGCTTACAGTGAATAATTTACATAAAATTATACTCATTTTTTACATAACAAAAGGATAACGATATAATAATATCCATTGGATTTTTTCAATAGAATGTTATAGTAATGAATTTCACAATAAATTCATTTTAAATAGGACAAATGACAATCAACATTACTCAGTATAGTGAACCACTGCACATATCTGACCCAAGCGATAATATTATCACGTTTACAAGCGGGTATTAAACAATCAAACATACATCGATCGATAGTTATACCTATTTGTGATTGTAGTGATAAGAACAGCTTTACATACATAACCTTTAACTTTGTTTGTCGTTTACAAAAAACCCTGTGACATAATGTTGTTCTACACTTGCTTGCAGTGTACGTAAAACATATTGCATTGTTTAGTAAAACATTTGGACATAGGAAGAAGAACTAAGTGAAGAAACTCATTTCACTAAGTTAAATATTTATTGATTGTTAAAGAAACAAAATAGCTTTCACGTCGACCCTTCATAAGAATGGGGATCAACAATGTTTTAAAGTAGGCCTAGATTTTCTTTTAATATGAAAAAATTGTGATTATTGTAAACTCAGTGTAAAAACTTACAGGATAATATCGTGTGAATATGCGTTTTATATGTAAAAACAAATTTATGTTATATTTAAATTTAATATATTATTTAAATATGAATAAATAATTAAAGGATGTAAAGATAAAAATGCTGTTATGATGTATTTGAGATATATATTTCATAAGAATTAAATAAATAATTTGAATTTTAAATACCAAAATGTTCTCATGATTTTGTTATCGAGTATCATTGGAATTAAAAAAATCTAAAAGTTACAAATGGCACATTTAAGGCACAATTATGTCAGCTTCTTTCATTTTAAATGCATTCAATGGGTTAAGATAACAATTACTTCTCTAGTTTCTATCAAATAACTCAACACGTGTATTTGTTAGGTATTTTGAATAATATTTGGCCTTACAGTATATTTAATCAACCTCTGATGAAAAATCGTTTTATATTAAGTGAAACTTTTAGACGTACGAAGAAAGCAAACAAAATTTCAAGCATTCAATATGAAAGTGTCTTTTCTTGTTTTATCTGAGACAGTATTTTGATTAATAAAATTATTTGTTACATAAATTTACTTATTTGAAACCCACACGATGTTGACAAGAGTAAGTTTGTTTTAATAAAAATGTTTATAAGATATTAAAACAAAAGCAAATGTATAATTTTTTCCTTTTATTTCTCTGTACATCCATTGTGTTATATTTTGGAGTCTTAACTAAACGAGTTTACCCTCCAACTTAACCGGTAATCATAATAGTAATCACATTGCAAAACAAAAGTCTGCAATTATACTTGTTTAGCAATGGACTATTTGTTTCACTTGTTACATTTTCCTGATGTTTTAAAACAGTTTTTTCAGCACTTATTATAACAATTATGTCGTAAATTAATTTTAATGGCACCTCGTGTAACGTATATATTTTTAAATAGAAACATATTTATAACACCACGTTAAAAAATAATTATTCCGTTAATAAAATGATTATAAAAACCGCATACCTTAGTAAAAATCAAAATCACAGTCGGTATGTCGTAAATCACATATAAAACGAGCAGTGTATTTGCACAACGTGTAATTTAAGCGCGCTCCAACAGCGAAGTGACCGTGTGTCGTGCTCCCAACGAGCGGTTATCTTTTGTCCAAGGTTCAAGAACAAATCATCTGCAAGAACGTCCAGGGAATATATGTAGATTTAGCATACAGATTAAATCTAATTCATAACAAATGTAATGAAGGGTTTTCATTTAATGAAATTTTGTAATAACCAAAAAATAGATCGATTGAGTAATGCTAGAATACTTATCCAGATCAAATAATATATCTTTGTTACGAAAATTTCTTTATATGTAAAGATAACTACTTAATAAAACTTTTTATTATTATAGTAATAAGTAAAAAAAAAATTATTCGCAAAATAACATTTATAGAACTACAATCGTTTAAGTTCGTAAAATGGGACAAGCGTCATTTTCTTTTTCGTATCGTAATAAAAACAAACATTCCCATTATCGGTATTTCATATAACTACCAAATTTATGAGAGGGACATAAAAATTAATTTATCAGTCATAATAAAACACATGTTATGTTAGGTACGGATCTATTGTATGGAGATTTTCTTTTGTGATATACATTTTTATCAGTAATCTAAGGTCACTTAATAGTTTAGGTAATTTGATATATATATTTGTTTTGTAATTCAAATTTATTACTTATAAATTTCTTAAACATACAGCGGCTAAAATAAATAGTATCAGATGATTTGCACATATATGTATTTCAGTTCTCTTCGTAGCTATAATTGCAAAATAAAAATCTTGGAAAATAAAACTATAGAACTAAAGCATAATAAAACAGTTGTAGTGGCTTGTGGGGTTTTACTAAGAGGTCAAGTCTTATCTTTGTGCATCATTGATGACGTGGAGGAAGAATAGTTAGAAATTTTATCGGTCTTCGGCGAAATAATCTGCAAATATCGGGACCTTGTTTTCGCCGGTAAGAATTGAAATGTTTAATTCTAAAATTCATTTATCTTACATAAATTATAGATTTTATATTTTACGACTTAAAAGAAAAACAGTATTGTTTCTTTATTTTAAATCATTTATAGTAATTTGAATGTAGCATTTTAAGTTGTTTTTTGTTTTTTGTCATTCACCTTCGGTGTGGAAGTCGTACTTGCACTTGTACTTTGGTATGTTCTTTTTGAACAAAGAAAAGTTTATTTGAAAATAGCTTTAATAGATTTGTATTATTTCAAATAATAAAATAATAAATTATTATAACATAAACACTAAACCAAATTATCATAAAATAAAAATCATAAACAAAATTAAACTGATTTATTGAAACATTTTAGATTTAAATTAATATATTTTTTACTAAAGCTAATGGGCTTTCACTTATGTAACTAATAGAGGCGATAATGAATATAACAGACGTCGGCCATAAGTACAATATGCATTACGTTATACGATAACACTAGGTATCAATAGGATGTTTTGCTTTTGCGATCGAGACCTCGGCTCGTGCAGAACTGGCTTTATTTATATTTAAAAATAAGTTCAAATTCAGATGAACTATTCTTAAAATGATTTCGTATTATAAAATAAGCCGGCACCACACGACCTCAGTTACAACCTAAAGACATATTTTATGGAAGATTACAATTTTCTATACAGAAATACTAAATCATTAAACATTTAACATTACATTAATGAGACAAATGCTTTCAAAATGACATCGGGGATACGAAATGCCGCAAGCGTGTTGATACCTAACTAGTACCGTTTATAAATAATATAAGGATCGTACAAGTAAATTTGATATAACATACAATACAATGTACATAAGGTATAGGAAGGTAAAATGAAATGAAGTCCTTACAGCCACTCTTATCACATTACACAACGCTGTAAGCGTTACAACTAGTTTGTCTATCATAGAAAATCTAAAATATCGTCTGTATACAAACATGTGAATCAAAATCTACAAATAATAGTATAATCCGGTTTATTTATCCATCTGTAATGTACAGGGGTCAAGCTTATCTATGTATAAAAAAAATTGCGCAAAGCAATCGCTTCAGAAACGAAATACATTTCAAGTCAAACAATTTTTTTTTAATTGGAATACATTTAACATCGATTACAATTTGGCATCAAATTAAGATCTTATTTTAAGCTTCGATATAAATGCGAACAAGCCTTGCTCTTTAGTCATGGCACGAAACGCTAATTATTCGAAGGGAATATTTAATGAAACAAAATGTCAGAATGTTTGTTAGTCAGTCCGGTAATATTTTATACAGCACAAAGAAACCTTATTATATTGGCCTGCAACAGTTTCTAAATAGAGCTGTGCGTTAAATGGCGCTCGCCCTGATTTGTTTCGGTGAATTAAATTTTTGTTCGTAAGACCTCCGCGGTATTCCGCTTACTTTTTTGGGTGACGTACTGTAGTTAATAGAAGATGGCAAAGACTTGTATCCTCCATCTGAACTATAATCCGTGTCTGTGGACTGACCGAGACTTGGACTGTGTCTATTCCCGTTTACACTCTCCTTGCTACTGATCCTTCCATTGTAAAGATCTCCATAGGAAGTGTGATGTTTTATGGAGGTCTCCTCGATAACCGCTGTTTTGGAAAGTAAAGGCTCTGTGGATAGATAATGCTGGTTGTGGAAATTCTCTATCGATTTGGAACGTGAGGAGTACAGGCTTCGTCGTTCATATCTATCGTTGAGAGATGAATCTCGTTTGATATATCTTCTATTGTCTGTGTTGTTTAATGCTTGAAGGTATTTAGATCCAACCCGACTGTTAGGTTTCAGCAGAACAGAGTCCCGCTTGTCAGTAATTTTGTCCGTCTGTCTGTTTTCGTCTAATTGTCCGTTCACTTTCCTCGCACCGCACTGACATTTCACGGTCCCATTATTAACAGGCCTTTTTGTCTTTTGTGCTTCACTATACGGCAGCTTCCTTCCACTAGCTTGTTCATTCCAACTGTGAAAATAAAAACGTATATATTAATATTTTGTAATGGACATTGATCTGACTACAACTTAATAGTTAACCTAATTATTTAAGTAACTATGAATACATAATATACAGACTATTTATAGAGAAAAGAGTTTTAATTCTTTTGTAAATTTTTCATTTTAAACATGTATCGTTAACTAATATACAAAGCTAAAATTAAAATTACTAATTTCTTTTAGCCTATCTTCTATCAAAGTGCTCACCTTTACGTTCTGTTGTGGCAGCGTGTAACATAGAGATAATTTTCATAATCAAGGCCAAGGTTATCAAACGTTAGTTCACAAAATAAATTATAACAACTACACACAACACTCTAATATCACCTGCTTTTATGTGTTTAAAAAAATGTTTAAGTATCTTGTATATTATGTTTTAGACAACCTATATTGTGCATTTGTTTGCAATATATGTATGTATAAATATATATGTAAAAGAATATAATCTTTACAAAGCTCTATATAAATCCTTGTATAATAAAAGAACACTCGTTAAAAAATATAGTTTCTTAATATGTTAAAAGGCACAATGTTTTTTGATATATATAAATCAGGAACGTAGCGAGGTAATTTTAATTTACGAAATAAACGATTAAGTAAGTCATGCTTGAATAAATTCTTATTGTCCATGAATTGCAATGATATAATCAAGCAAGCAATTGAAACGTAAGCATCTGCAATTAGGTATACGAAAGATGCAAGCAACACAGCAAAGTAAATGAGCACAAAAGACAGACACCGAGCAAGCAGTCCAACCACGCTACCTGCTCCGACGGACGAACGCGCCCCAAGTGGAAGCTGTCCGCGCAGCGTGGAAATAATAACATGAGGTGGAAGATTGTTTGGAATTATTGGAGAAGGGGCAGTTTAACATGAAGATATATACCAAAAAAAAGTTATATCAATTTAAGTTATGTAAAAAAAATACTAAGGGAAAATTAGTATTAGATAAAAAGTACCAACCAACTTTATCAATTTTTTTTTATAAAAGTCATGATAGGAAATTGAAACAAAATGTAGAAATGGAACTAAAGGATATGTAATAAGATTAAAAGTATTTTTAAATAATAAACTAATTGTATGAATGAATGATTAAATAAATAGTCCCGTGAAAAATGGTGATATTGTTAAAGTAATAGTACACATAGAAGTAGATGAGAAAATGACTTTTTTATTCATATAGTCGCCAAAAATCGCAACCCATTCTAGATTTCTTAAATATTTTGTGAAATTTTTAACTGAGAATGTATTCGTACATATAGCATTATATTGATTTTTATCATTCAAGTATGATATATATTTTGTGTTTAAAAATGTGAGTGATGTTTGCATCATGTGTATAATGGACTTCATTGAATTTATTGAAGCGGCGAATAACCTAAAACAATATATAAAATACATACATATATAAGCTATAATGATGTTCTATTAATGATGAATAGTACTGTTCGAAGAAACAATAAAAAGAGTTCAATGTTGCTATAAAGGAAGATTACTATATAGTGGGGTCTAGCAAAAATACCAAATGAGTGACGTAGAAATATTAAGACAATAAATTGATATATTACCTCACTAAACCGGAATTTTCAGAACTCGCTAGCGAGCTGCCGATAGGTGGCCGCAACTGTAAATATAACAATATATATAGCAGTAAGTACTTGACATGTTTAAAACTGTTTGGGTAGAAATTATAATGAACAGTTAATGATGTCACAGGAACTTTCAGACGTAATAAGACTTTTATCAGGACGATAGACATAGAAGTTTTTGAATAAATCTGAATATGAAAGTATTTCTCACTCGATCGGTCTGTGTGGCGACGTTGCAGGTGTCATCAACTCTCGGCTCATGGTTCTCAGCCATACGCAGCATCTGTTGTTGCAACACACGCACCAACCGATCTCTCTCCTCCAACTGACCCTGTGAAAATCAAGTTATTATCTCATTAACTGAGTCGGAATTTCCTAGTGCTAATTTTCGGTTCGAATTGAGATCTATTTATAACGAAGTTGTGGATTACTATTATAAGCATACTGTTATTTACCAGGCTAATTGTGTGTGATATTATATTATATTCCTGTTGCCATGATTCTTAGTATTCATCAAATACTTGGAATTAAATTTTACAAATAATTATAACAAAAGCTGATAAGGATAGTTTGAGTCTGTTATTAAATCATGTATTCGGCATTTCTTATCAATATTGCTCTCAATAGATCGAGATACAGATAAACATTGGCATACATTCGGATTTATATATCTACACTCTTTTTTCTTGCCTGAAATAACTTATAGAATAACTTTTATAGGCAGAATAAAGTAATTTAATAACGATCAATGGCCACTATTTGTTACTAGAAAATATGAATTCTTAGAATATGAAAACAATTTGATTTTAGTTATAAATTAATTTTCTTATTTTTTTTAACTCAATTTGTATTTATATTTTATTTTTAATCCCTAAATTTCTATAACTTTCAGACGATATAATAGTATCTCATATTAAACAATTTCGAAAATTACTTTGAGCTCGTCTTTTAGAACTTTTGTATCAAAAACCAACATTCATAAAAAAAATAGTTTTAAATAAATGAGTACATACTAACTACGTAAATATTATAAGTTTTGAATTCTATTCAGTCAGTTAGTTCAGTCATAAGAAACCTTGACGAAAGTATGTGTCACTGAACATTTGATATCAGAGGCATGGCTCGTGATGAACCAAATACGTGCCACGAATCGACTTTATTGTCTACCTATTACTACTATTTGCCGTGGTGGTTATAATAAATATCTTATTATAATCCTAGATACGATTTTCACTTGGTTTAAGTATTAACGATACTTGTATATGATCTTTATGATATGAAGCATTTGTAACTTTTAATATCAAGCCTATTTATGCTACCTGGTAGAAAATTATAAAACTTTTTCATATGTATTTCGTAGAAAGATTTGTGGAATGAATTGAGAGATGATTGTTCTGATACCTAATGAGATCTAAAATCTTCGAGAGTATTCATTTAAATATAAGTAATATTTTCGGATTACTGCGAATTATTTTATTATTCAGTTATTCTCATCTAATGAGATGAGAATGACCAATAGCCAATGGGCCGGTGATCAATTGTTTTGATTGATTGATTTGATGCAATTAACCGAAAGTCTGAAGTATATAATTTAATAACAATAAAATAACACGTAATAATTCTACATATTATATTAGTTTCATATTCTTCTACCTGTAAGTAGACTATTTGGCGTCTCATCTCAGCACAAGCGTCAGGGTGCAGCGGCGAGGCGGGGAGGCGGCGCCCGTTGCCGCGCGCGGGACTCTCCGCGCACGCCGCTAGCAACGGGTCGAGAGTTTCGCTCTGTAATTGATATCAACAAATTATAGGAATATATATCACAAGATAATGATTGTAATAAAGTTTTAGATATACTTGGAAGGTGTATTTAATTAAAAATAATTGTAATTAATTAGGACTTAGAGAAAATCCATTAATCATTTTGCTAGAGTTAATTTGATGAAACACTTACATCCTTTCGAACGATTTTTGAGGACATTTACTGTCGCTGTTTTGATAAAATGTATTTAGAATTTGAAAAAAAAAACAAGCAAAATTTTCTTAGTAGAATGAAACCAATTAAGTCTAAATATAGAATTATACTATTCAGTGCAGCGCTACTAGTAAATTAGTGCTATATACATATATTATGCTATTAACGAAAAACTATATATTTGCATGAACATGCATGTATTGCATCATGACGATCACCATATCCAGTTATTAAGGTCAATTACACGCATCGATTGAAAAGGGAATGCAACTGTTGATACTGTTTAGTTTACATCGTAGTCCTAAGGACCAACCACGCTATTTTCTTAATATTGCAATTCTAAACATGCAATTTTCAAGTAATAGGAATTCTTTTAAGTTAGTCAAGCTTCTATTTGAAGTATATATAATGATGGGCTTAAATTATATATATCTTAACCGTTTACTGATAAAACAAACCGAGGTTATAAAAAATATGCTAGTAATATTTTAATATTTCTGGCATAAATAAATTATATAAAAAAATAATACGTATAAATAGAAATATAGTTAAGTTTTTTTATTAATGATCGTATTACATATACAACACTAACATTAGGTAACTAATAAGAGGTACGATCTTTTTTATCATCTAGAATTACGAATACGTCAGAGTAACTACTTACGGAAGTAAAATAAACCCTCAATTATCAGTAAAACAGACATTAATTTGTGACGTGAACTAAGCAATATATAAATAATGCTATTTCCTAACTCTCAACCTTAAAACATTTCTGTTTCTATCACTCATTTCTCATAATATATACAAAACAAATTCATAATTGTTTTACTCACACTCATCGAATGATGCTCCTCCCCTGGCTGCGCAGCAAACAAGTCGATGCAACGAAACATAAAAGTTACAAACAAAACAAATGTGCTATACAGGCAACAAAAACATCATGGCATTATTAACAAACAAATTATTAAAGCATATAAAAAGTTATTATTAAAGAAAAAAATTATCAACATTAATCTGTTAGAAACAATGGCAGGTTGTATGGCTTATAACAGATTATTTCACATGATTGTTTTTCAATGTTATCATAATTTTATGAAATTGCAAAATTATAGTTCCACTTGATTGAAAAGTAAATTGTTCAGCGTAAATTAATAATTAGACTGCAATTATTATCTATCACATCTTCTTATAATGTGTATACTGTATAGTTTTAATGAGACACGCAAACATATAACTCTACTCAGGCAAAAACTATAAATAATATAAATGATTATGTAATTAATTGTTGCTATAGAAATTTCGTTTAAAAAGCTAGAAAGCTGATAATCAAAGTTAGCCATTTGAAGAAATGTAACACAGACGAAAAGATATATAATTTAGAAATTAAAGAAAATTTCACACACGCAAAACTATTTACTTTACGCTGAATGCATTTGTGGGTGCTATGAATAATTCAGCGTTCTTAATTTAATAAAACAGCATAATATGTTTATAAAACTGTACATGCACTAAAAAAGAAGGATGCACTTTATTAAGAATATAAAAAAAAATATGAGGCGGAAAAAGTTTTATCATTCTTTTAACTAATACGGTCATGCAACAAACCTCTTGTAATACCCTCTTGAGTTGCAACAGAAGGGTTTTGATGTCGACGACATCTTGAAGTAATGATGAGGGCGCTGGTGCAGGGGATGTGCTCCCGTCTGAAATACCGGCATCTGATGGTGTTTGAGTACGTGAACGTTGCAGCAAACGTGCTGTGCGCACTGGAAGACTGGCCCTGGAAATAAAACACAATACTTTATACATACTACTATTGCATATGAATTCACATCTAGCATTTTATAATAAAATATCGAACTAAGTCCACTGTCCAGTAATGTATTGGTCTATCGTGTTATGTTAAAAACGAAGTGTCATCAGCTTTCTGACTCATTAGACCGGCAATGATAAATTCTTTAATGAACATTTCTTTCTTTAATATGAAGTCAACATATAATTTACAGCTAGCATTTTATATTAAAACATTGAACTAAGTCCAGTAATGTATTGGTCCATCCTGTTATGTTGAAACGAAGTGTCATTACCTTTCCGATCCATTGGGGCGGCAATGATAGTCTTTAATGAACATTTCTTTCTTTAATATAATGTCAAAATTTACGACATATCCAAGTTACCAAAGCCGAAGTTCCAAAATAAAATAACAGGACAGACTTGTGTCATTCTATTACAAACATCTTTTTATGGAAACATGAATGAATACCACTTCTAATTCTCTTAAAAATGTTGTATAATTAATACTTGCATGTATGAAAAACCTATAAGGAAGTAAGCGAAACAATTAATATTTTAATACGTCTACAATATATTTGATATTTTTTCATAATGTGAACCAACCAATTCCAGCACAATTAATCTAATACATATTGTAACAATTAATTTTTTTTCATGTGATTAGCTGTGGGCGTGACGGTGGGTGCTTAAAACTAATTTCTAAAATAGAGTGACCTAATTATATTTAATACATATATTGCTTTATCAATTTACATGCAGCCTTGATATGTTTTGAAATTATTTTTGTACGACATTCACAATATTTTAACATTTTTGTATCATATTACTATAGTTCTATTAATAACCAAGTAATCTATAATGTCTACGTAACACCTTTTTCTCTTGGACCTTTCGTAAATATTGTATAATTTTAGAATCTGTGTGTATTTTTGATATGAAAATTTAAACATATACAGAATTATTTACTATAATTACTTAGGTCTTTTTTGCCGATTTTCATTACCCTGGAATTGTCTAGGTTTATTTTTTTTCAAACAAATCCTTGACGTGTGATAAATAGCGCCTACCTATGATTCAAATACATATCTATTCAATACGCTATCGTTATCATTTGATAAGTTATATATAGCTCCATTTCCACTTCAAACTGTTTATTATTAAATTTGTATGAAAATTAACAATAATTTAATTAGCTATTAATGTAATTAAAAAAGCTGGTGGATTAGCCTACACGTCTTTGTGTAAGCTTATTGTAATGTTGTGAAAGTAAAGAAATTTTGATACAGAAAAAAAGAAATTATTATTATTTGTTAAAATTTACGACGATTTATCTTTTAACCTACGTCGAAGTTCACAAGAAAACATATAATTCGAAGTTCTGAATCTGATTGAACCTTGCGATAAAAAAGTATATGTAGGAGTTAAAAACAATGATTATTGTACAGGGTTTTATGTCTTTCATAGATTAAATTATTAGGTAAGCTACAGCTGCACAGTGAAAGGCGATGCAGAAGTCTCATATTTTTTTCTAGTTTAATAGCAACTCAAATTGCTAGCCTAATTTAGTAATGTTATTGTTCATCATTAAAATAATTAGAATGTTTCATAATATTAAACGTAGATGTGGATTTGCAAAATCACTTCTCAACTTCAGACCAAATGTCTTTGTTTATTTTTTAATTAGATGAGAATGTAGTAAAAATAATATTAGTGAGGTTTATAGCATTAAAATTATATCATAAACTATGTAACTTGACAGAATTTAGAATAAAATTGCAAGACTAAATGAGTATTATTATCTCATGACAGTAAGAAACTAAAAAGTTTTGTTCCTTTTAGCAAGAACTAATGATGTAAATGAATGGTTCATTAATTCTGCTTATTGGCTTGAATATATAACATTAGAATTGGATTCAAAGAAAAGAAAACTAGCAAGTTACGATCCAAGGCAATATGTCGAGTGGGTTTCTAATAAAGGTATAATGAACTAATGCATGCGATTTCTTAACAAGATAAGAATAAGAGCACTTAGTTATAGAAAGGAAAAACGATAATATCCGCTTACAACATCAGGCAATGGAGCGCGAAGGAAAGGTGCAAAGAAAAGAGAACACCAGAAATATTAATAAAAAGACAAAAACAAACATATTCGTTACACTTCAATAGCATTGTATATAACGTTTTATTATTAATTAAGTTAGTATTTTGACTATTGTTGTGATCTGAAAGTGTTCTAAGTTGATCTTTTAGCCTTGCACCTTAAGGTCAATGAGGCACTTAATTTACTGGCAATTGGTTTCATTTCAATAGCAGAATTTATATATTGCTATATATGTATAACGAAAAACGTATAGCTGCCATTAATACACATGAGACGCATTAAACGAAAGATAGGAAAATATATTTTACAATGATAACTTCTGATAGGAATATGTATGAATCACGTAATGTTATAATGGAATATTTAATACAATTTATTTCTAAATTCGTTGTAAACTATAAACACTGGCGTAAAAATTACAACAGCATAAAAACTGTGGTTTCACAAAAATTAGCACGCGATGTCTTTAAAGCACCTGTACTGTTTGGCCCTTTGGCTGCGAAGACTGGGGGCTGGGCTGGCGGACCTCGTGGGCTCAGCTACATGGAGGTCCGTCTTCTGACGCCTAGCACCCAGGCTTTGGTGCCCCGACGTGGCACTTTGACGCATCGCGGGAGGATTTCACGGCGCGCACGCACACTGCCGACTGAAGTTTGAACGAACGCGCTATCGTGCCACCACTGACGGAATCAGATCTCGCGACCCTACCCATTCACGCCGAACAGATCATAATGATTTCTTTTGTTACACTCTGTTTCAACGGTAGCTAATTAAGTACTGTTAGACTACATTATCATTGCTCTACTGACATTTCTAATCTGTCACGAGGGTTGTGTGCGAGAGGCACAGGTCAGCGGACTGTGTCGGAAAATAAAAGCCTCGCAAAACCTGACTATCATCACAAAGCACTTCAGTCACGCTTGTTGACTCTCACAAACACTTTCTTTTGTACATGACTCTTGTAAAATACAGAAACAATTGTCATTACATCAAGGCAAGCATGACAAGATGACATTCTAAGTATATGCGTATGTATATAAAGATATGTTTAATTTTTTATTACTTTTATTAACAGGATAATACTGAAGGTATGAATAGTCCAGTGTCAGTTAACCGTTTGTTTATATCATGAAGGAAGACCGGCCTGTTTCTCTATAGCTCTTATGACGTATGCGTGGAACCGTTCAATAATTTCAACCCCTCTGTACCTGACTCGTAAAAGTTTGTTTCCAGTTGAAGTCAGTTTAAATTTAAACTAGGAGCCAAGATATTTAGACAAAATGTTATAAAAAAATCTATATCATATTTTTATTTATAGAAATCATTTTATTACATTTCATTACAATTTATTAGCTGATAATTCTTAAATTTTTCGAGAAGTAGCTAATATCTGTATATTTTCTATAATAATAGATAAGTTAATTATATTAAGGATATTCATTAAGTATTTTATCCCTTACCAATTATTATTTCACTGTTTTTGTTCATAATGGGAGCAATTTATAAAAACTATTACATTTTTTTAACGTCGCATTTGTCCCTGACCTTTAATTAGTTTTATTAAAATCCCACTCAAACACACACGTTCCGCTCCGTTTAAATTATAACCTGTTTTGTTAATAATAGCCAATTAAGAAGGATATAACTTAGAGCTTTAAACATAAAATTCATTACAAAATGTGCGTTCAAGAAGCATTCATGCAGTCGAGCGAGACTTGTCTGTCACGAACCCCTAACGGTAAACCTCACGTCAAATCATTTATAAACAACGTTTTTGAAACACTAGCAAGACCAACGAGATCGTTCCCATTACCCATAGGGCACCATTTTTGTATAATTTTGTTTTAATTTCTATTAAATATTAAAACTACACTTGACAGGTGTGTTTTTTTAAAATTAATGTACATGCAAGGGTATAAATTTTAAGGTGGTCATAAAAAAATGTTTATAGACAATTATAACATTTTTAAATGTCGAAAAAATAAAACCTAATAAAATATTACTGGGGGTAATAAAGAAACGAAGTATGCACACTTGTGTTCAACGGACTGCTTGAAGTTAATGAATATTATGACTTCTTATTTAATTGAATGTCAAATATATTATATATTTGGTTTATTAAACCCCTTTGTGTGCGCAGTACATGTTTGCAACATCTAATATATACGTTTCCTTTCCAGTTTCTCATTAAACAACTGACGTTAAAACCATAATGTGATATTTGTGAACAAAAAACTCTTAACGTTACGTGTGTAGTGTAATACATACTTAGGGTAAGCATAATGATTACATAACGGTGACTTGTGATATCCGAATATTTAATCAACGTATGGTTTTTTGCTTGAGCTAATAACGTACAATGATTAGTTACTTTCAATGATACCGTTGTATGCAAAATTGTGATTGTGTTTTGATACTTAGATTTTATTTTAGATAGTTGATCATTTTGTTGTATTATAAAAACATATATTTTTTCTTGGATTACTATTTGTAATGCTTAAGAAATGTTATTAAGCATATTATGTATTCAAAATAAAATGTTATTATATTTTTAATATTATATCTCCAATGGATTCACATACTTATTTGAATAGACTAAACCAAATGGTAAAAATGTGATTATACAAAGAACTTTTGTATCAAATTTTCATTTAAGGTCACCTATCTTCAATAAGATACTTAATATAAGAAAATTACTATTATATTTATTGGTTTTCTTCAATCCGTAGTTCTATTAAAATTTATTTTACTCGTTATATTTCATTTACTTTTTTTAATTTATTCATAGAAGAAAATTATTTATATTAATTTATTATTGTCAGAAAAATGTATTCAAATTTAAATTTCAAGTTACATTTTATATAAAAAAAAATTGCAAACAAAAA